AAAAATATAAATGTTTTGTGAATTCTGTACTCTTTTCTGCAAAAGTATGTGATTTTGTTGTTGTAATACGTGAGATGCATTAACACTTAATACACTCTTCACAATTTACAGTTAATTATTTTGGCCAAAAAAATGGGTCTCCGAAATCACAGTTCACCGTGGGGACTTGACCTCAGGACCTCCTAGTCAGAGGAACTGGAGTGACATTAGTTGATCTCCTGAGCCACGTCTCCCGGTTCCGGATAATTAATGTCATAATTAGTCATGGTGTTATTAGATTAGGGACATCTTGATTTTTTAATGAAGGCAGGGCGCGCAGGCGAGAAAATTTCTGACAAGCTGCGCACTCTCCGTCGTGGATGACGGAGAGTCTACTGCACCTATTTAATGACCCCGAGTCTACTGCGCCTATTTAATTAGGTTCTGGAGTGTACTATAGATAGAAATGATAGATTTTAGCAATTACCAAGATTGTGAAATGTTCCCAAAAACTAAACAAAGTTAATGGTATGTATGTACATTTAAATTATTATTATTATTATTATTATTATTATTATTATTATTATTATTAATTTATTTTTTGATTTTACGGTCGGTGCAGTATATTTTTAAAGGTTTTCAGTTTGCAATAAAATGCGAAATTGATCCCAAAATTCGAAATCACCTAGAAAGTGCGAAATGGTCGTGAACCGAAGATATAATTTCTAAATCACATTTCATTTTTTCCTGCGTGTTCGCTCTCTTAAGGATTCAACAACAACACATCGATGTTTGAAAACATTTAGTTTGATTAAGCTTATACATTTTTAGTCATTATTTAACTAAAAAAAAAACAGGTAAAAATAATGAAAACAATTTAAAAAAATTCCTAATCCTGAGAGCCTGAGTGCACGTGGTCACCTCGAGGTGTCTCAGCTTCCTCAGTTCGCTGCACGGAGAAGGTAACGGGAAGAAGAGGAAGGTCCTAAGGATGCGACGCAAGCGTTGCTCACCTCTCCCCGAGGTCATCTACCGAGAGGGGGTGCATGGGAGTCATTTCTATAGCGAAAGATAGGGGGCACATGAAAGCGCGTCTAGGTCAGATTTCGCAACATCTAACAACGCCTTCGGAAGGAAAAAAACACATTTTTGTCATTCTTATCAGGCGAGCAATGCGGACGGTAGGGGATGTCTTTCTTTTTCGGAAGTGTAAGTTCTCTTATCATCTGCAATCCATACAGACGTGTCGAGAAAAATTACTGTTGAACAGTGAGCGCAAAATTACAATTGTGAAATCTATGTCAATTATGGAAATATTGTAATGTTTAAATTATGCAATAAGAGGTTGGAGTGGCAAAAGAAAGATGTGCTAGAGAATCATATTATAATGACATTTATTTATATTATTTGTACAGTTATGTGGAAGGGAGCGCTAACCTAGATCTGAAACCTAAACTTATACTAACCTTGTAATCTAGTATTTACAATTTTATGCTACTTATTTACATTATTTACATACTTTGCTACTTACAATCTAAACTTACATACTAACGCTTACATACAAATTAAACCTACAGTAGACTCTTTATTTATTAGACTAAAGTAATCGACATGTTCGGGCGAAGGAAGACTTCAACACGAAACTAATAGAACAGCTACAAATTAAAGAAGTTACTTTTGCAGAGTTGGAATAGAAGTCGAAAAAAACTCGAAAGAAAAAATTAAGTTTATTGAAGACATTGTGAAGACGTTCCTATAAGCCAATATTTCGCGCTCGCGCTTAAGAAGGAACGTCTGAAGAAGAGCAAGTTATTACTCGGGCAACTTTTCTTGAACGATAGATTAACGATTTCGGATGGAGTGGGGGTATTAGTTACAAAGTCGGCCACTAGAGTATTTTAAGTAATGCCAACGTCTGTGAAATGAAAGTCAAAACTGCATCTTGTGCTTAACTTTTTCGGGAGTTTTAGGTGACTCCCTTGAAGAACCTGGACCTGATTCAGCCATTTATTTCGATATTGACAATAAATGTGAACAGGGGTTCTGAACTATGAAAGCAACTGGCTTTGACTAGCTTCTATTTCGCGCCAACGAAGTTTTAATGCTTGAAAGGTTGTCATCTGTGCCCGCTGCGAGCTTTTGCCTTCAACTGTTTATTGCACAAGGGAGGGGGATCAAGGTCATGGTTCAAGAAAATTTGCGCGAGTAATAAGTAATGCTGCGCGAAGAAAACGGCAATTTTCGGCAGAAAAACTAATTATAGGGCACTGGTATTGAAAACGTGGTTAAATCCAGATGCTAAATTTAGGGGGGGGGGAATCCTCTAACACGTGGTGTATCCTGTTTTGAGGGCCCAGTTACCAAAAAATTAATTAGCGGCAAAACATCTGTCCGTCTGTCTATGAACAACGGTAACGCTAAACCGTACAACCGATTTTCCCCAAAATTGATATTCCTCAACCGATCTAGCTGATATCTCGGCTTCTTGAATTTGAAACCGATATTTTAATTTTGGAAGGTAGTTTATATGAAGCTCCTGGGGCATTTTAATTTTTCTTTTAAATGGCGCCATCCATTTTGATTTTTTTTGGATAGTCTAAAGGACATTTAAGAGAATGGCGCAGGTCTCATGTTGGCTGAAAACGCTTTTCGACAATTCAAAAAATTCAAAATTTTTTCGGCGTCTTCCTATAATTTCAATTATGAAGATGCATTGTCTTAATAAAATGAATTCATCAAAAACATATTTTTAAATTATGTCATGTTGACGTTTTTGAAACTATGAGTATTTTTGAAGTAATTGGGCATCAAAGTTAGACGCCCACTCTGAAAATACTGCACTCCTTGATCGTAATTGTAGATGTTTTGAGGCAGTCGGATGCTAAGTTATAATGTGTGTAGTATTTCATATTTCATATGTTTTGTTCATTTCTTACATTGAAGCTTTTGTGTCCAAGCTAAGTTTTATTGCGCCATAGGCAATATGTTCGTTGTTGTTTTGTTTACAAAATATACAATATTACACCTCCGCTTAGATAATGTGTATTTCCCAAATATATATCAAAAGTGCTCTGGAACATTTATGCATGAGCGATGCGACGTGGTAAGTATACCTTCATGTTGGACTACAAATTCACATTTTACTTTATAATACAACTTGAAACACTGATTTATTTTCTTGACGACTTACACTAATGCAATGTGAGGGAAACTCAGACTGCTAATGTAAATTTTATTAAAGATAAGATAAGAATGTGTCCTCGCACTCCGTATCAGATAAGAATCATGTGGTGTCCTTGGTGTTTACTATAAACATGTTAAAAGCATTCTAAATACATTTGGTTTTCAAATCCTTATATTATGAAACTACACATAGTAAAGGTACAGTTTGTATAACTACTCTTTGGGCATACGAAAATTAAGCTACAAGGAAAATAGAATAAAATAAAATGAAAAACAGTTAGATGGTACGTGATAGGAAATTTTCGGCTTTGAATTTTATTCCTGCACATTAAAAATACTCCCAAAACATTAAAACTTCGGAGGCAATAATTTCATCGCAGATCAATGATACTCAGCAACACGTAACATTTCACTATGAGTCTCTTATCCCTTTCTAATGTATTTAACGCTGTCTCAAACCTTCTCTCCGCTCTTTAGCTTTACGTACTTCATGGACGACCCCTAATGTATATACTTCTTCCAAACGTATTGCAAGAATGACGACCATGAATGTAAATAACTTGGGGGGAGGCAACGAATAACTTTATTTTACATTAGCATAATATATGACCTCCTAAACCAGGCTTAAGAGTGATGATAAAAGGTGTACCGCTCTTGAGCTGAGGACTGCTGAGTCTGACGTGAAGAGGCATTTTGGAGGTGATATGAGCCTGGGAAGTAAGAGGTGTCTGCCTAGGCCTTGACGCACATGTGTAGCGAAACACGTGCCCGTAGGCGCATTTCTCAAATCTCATTTAGTTTAAAGCTACTTGAAGAGGTGGTTTACTGCAGATGCGTCTGGTATAAACACAAGCTTAAAACACGCTTCACTGTTTGTAGTTTGGTTGTATTCCTGTTCGAGATAGTCTCTTCTACGATGTAGTACCGTCGCAACCTGCTATTTGAATTTGGACAGTGTATGTGCTATTGCATAGCGTATTTCTCTCACATCAAACAAGAACACCTCTCAATGGAAGCAACCGTGAAGCATGTTCTAAGCTAGTGTACAATGTTTGAGCGCGTATCATTCTATTTATGCTGTTGGCATTCGCAGAATACCACATCTTCAAACGTATCTCCTGTCAAGTTAGAAAACGCCTGTCAGCAGGGTAGTGAATAGCGTTTCGTCCTTTCGGACTCATCAGAGATTTGTCTGTAACGCTGTACGAATAAACAACGACCTACCATCGTCTCATAGTTACCCTCATGCGACGTTTTCAAATATGGAACATCTCTAAAAGAGTTGTGTTTGTTTTAATTGGTTGTGGAAATAGGGTCTCCACTCGTCCCTGCTTTGTTATAAATGCTCTGCCCCCCCCCCCCATGACTCTAGCGGATCATAAAATTATCTATTTTTTCTGTTTCTATCATGCGTATGTTTAGTGCATTTTGTTATCAAGTCTTTATTGAATAATATACAATATTATTATTTTCGTCAATGGGATCACTTTAAAATTTCGAAATTTGACCTCTCTCCATCTCTTTACCTTCGTTGCAAATGTTTGCAATGTGATGCACATAGCGTACCTAAACTGCCTACATTGATCTCCAAGAAATGAAAAAAAATGAGAACTGGTTAAGCAAACACCCCTGTAGATAATCTGCCCCAGTTTCTTGAGTTGAAGAAATGAATTCAAAACCTCCCAAAATCAGAACTAGGGCAAACTTTGTGGTCCATCATCGTGAGATCAGTTACTCGAAATAATTAACTGATAGATTGATTTCGTATTTCTGGGCACGTAACTGCTATGGTTATTAGCCCCGTAAGTGTAGTGAGAGTTTTTTTTAAATCATGGGAGATGGAGGGGTTCTTCCTCCGCTGGATGGTGAGATTTGTCGCCAACCTACACATCGTTTTGCGGGGATTTCCCGTCCAGGTATCTCACCGGCACGCTTTTAAGCTCCCGCCTTGTCTTCAGAAATGTGATGGAGTGGTGTGTGTGTGTGTGTGTGTGTGTGTATGTGTGTGTAAGGGGAGTTGTGAGGTAAAGTTGAAGAAGAGATAGTGCGCTCCCTAGTCTATTCGTTACTGTACTGCAACGACATTCGCCTGGTATTGATCGCGGATAACACGGAAAACTACCTATCAGAGCAACTGGCCACTAGAATTCTCCTCCAGACAGCCAACTCACCCTAGCTAATGTCGAAAATCCTACTACCGTCAGGACTCAAGCCCAGGACCTCCAGGTGAAAGGGATTGCAGTGACATGAGTTGATGTCCTGAGTCTGATAGAAATATTTTTTTCATGGAACAACAAAAATCCGAACAGTGCATATCTCTTAGATGGACAATATTAAATTTCAAGAACTTAGCGGCATTGTAACATAATTCTATGAACGTGAAATTTTCCACAAGGAAAAGGAGTTAAATTTGAAATCCGAGAAGCGCGGCGAGAACTTCGCGCCTTCCTCCACACTCGAGGACAGAGCGACGAGTTCGGGCGCTCATCGCTAGATGGCTTCACAGTCGCACTGGTCCGTGCGCTCGTAAAGTCGGCGGGAGTGTGAGGAACGGATCGGTGAAACTTGAACGTTGTTGACGGGAGTTGTGGAACGAATCGCGTGGTCGTTGGCGAAGCGCGGCGGGACAACTCGTGGTGGCTCGTGTTCATTCGTGTTGCCCGCCCGTGTGTTGCGGGCTGTGTTGTGGTGCTGGTACTTTCGAGTTGCCGGAGTGGATCGCGTCGCTGTGCGTCTCGAGTTCTCGTCGGGAAACCAAAAACGGGGCGTGCGGCAACTTCAACGTGTGTTCCGGCGTGCGTCGACGCAGTTATTTATTGACAGACGGAACTGTCTCGGTGAGTGATGTTAAATTATTCAAGCAATAACGGGACACGAATTTTCTTGACAAAAAACAACAAACAAACGAAAAAAAAGAACACCGCAGATTTTATAAAAACTCGGGAACCCCCTAAAGAGACTCGAACGAATTGACAGTTACTTTGAAAGAATTTAGAGTGTCATTCTGTTGTTCTGAAAAGAGACATCAGATGGAAACAGAGTAAATGCGTGAATATATATATATATATATATATATATATATATATATATATATATATATATATATATAATTAATATTTGACCACAAATTAAACGACTATCCAGGATAAAACCGTTCTGCAAAATGTATTTTTCTTTAGTTGTATCGTTTTTTCTTTAACACCGATGATGTAAAATACGTTAATATATGTTTTGTATGTTTCTACCGCTTCGATACTGAACATAAGCACTCTGCGCATACCGGCATATGTTGTTTCCAGCAACTCTTTTGAACCATATTCCACCTTAACAGAAATTCCAAAATTCTGACTGAAATTTCGAATTATTTTTGTACGAATTTTGGCCATTGGACATATTAAACAAAATATTGCGAGTATCAATCAAGAACATTAAATAAAAATAAAACGATTTGAAACGATTTGAATAAAACGAATAAGACGATTTGTCAACATCTTTATTTGAATTTGAGTAAAATTCAGTTCAGTAAGATACAAAAAGCATGTATTTGATTCTGAACGAGATATTGAGTAATTACGAGAGTAGGATTACAACTGAGTCTCAGGAAGAACCTACTCAGAGTCCCGGACAAAGGGGTTGCTGGAAGGGAAATATAGAATACAGATTTAAGTTTGAATAATTCATGAATCCTTCTTGGTAATTATTTGCAACTCTTAAAAGTGAAATTGAAGTTTTACGGTTACTATAATTTAAGAATAAATATTCCACAATCAGGAAATAAAATAAATTACATATTTTCAGTTACTTATTATCTCTAAAAATATGTAAATATACCAAATTTGGTTTGTCGAACACTGGTGAATGTTGTACGTGAATAATTATTTTCTAGCTAGATTAATGTAGAAGGAATCCTGAGGAAAACTATATGTGTTCCTAATAATATTGAAGAATTAGACAGGTCTTTAATCAAAATAAATTTGAAATTGGAATACAACCGTTTTAATTTAAAAATATAATTATAATATTTATGAATTGAAAGTGTGTGTAAAGTCATACGGAGGCACCTTCAGCTGCGGTCGTAAGCACGTGTTGGGTGTACTTCCGATCATTTCTGTCGAAATTGTATATTTTCAGGAATTTCATATCTCGTTCCAGCAATATAACATATTCGCAAGTCGTACAGGTTTTTTCATGTCTTCCTCCGAACTGTGTTATCTTCCTTTGTCTACTACAAAGGCCTCGCAAAGTTTCCCGACCCCGAAGAATACACGCGACCCTCCGTCAGAAACTCGTAAGCGTTGTTCTGTCGGATATGAGCACGTGCCTAATTAGCCGAACGGTTAATGCCGAGCCGCAGCTGAGCGAAGGAAACGCATGGCTAGCGTGCAACGCATGACGCAACTAAATCTATTTGCCGCTCGCCTCGGCCGGCGGTCGGCCGACGGGTGTGTGACATGTAAGCCGCGGCGCGGCGTCGGGCAGTGGGACTTCACTCGTCATCTCCACTAACGAAAATGCCCTTTTCGGAATGCAATTGGTTCTGAAAAATGTATTATTATATTTTTTAGTTGTATCGTTTTTCTGTAACACCGATGATGTAAAAGAAGTGAATATATGTTGTGTGTAGTTTCTATCGCTTCGATACTGAACATCAGCACTCCGCGCGATACCGGCGAATGTTTCCAAAAACTCTCTTAGACCCTATTCCACCTTAACAGAAATCCCAACATTCTGACTGAAATTTCGAATGATTTGTATACAAATTTTGACCATTGGACGTATTAAACAAAATATTGCGAGTAACAATCACCTTCAGGCTTGATATAATATTCTGTGTGGTTTCTTTTATATAAACTCTTGTAATCATTTGAGAAAAACTCCAGGGGATCGAACGAATGTCGAAAATATTTTCTCTTGATTTGGTACGTAAACAGTGGTGGTACAGAATGGCACAGACTTTCTCTTATCTGATAATTTCCTTAGCTCTTTACAGGTTGGGGTAGCTATTCGGTTTTGCCATACCCTCTTGCAAACTGCTACCTATCGTCGCCTAAAAACATTTTTTCACATTTTCTCAATTTTGTGGTTACCTAATAGTAGAATTGCAGTGTGACTTTAAGAGAAAAGCCTTATCATATCTGCAAATTTTCTTGCAAAATTTAGAGCAATTTTTGAAAAAGAATCGTTTGAGTGTTTCGGGAAATGCGTATTTTGAGCTCATTTTCACCTAAAACATTTGAGTTGTTGAGATACTTATATTCTTTGAATTACTTGTATTCGCAAATGCAATAGCTTATAAAAACGCCCATAATGTGTATTCACGACATGGGAAATCTTTTATGTAAAGTAGCCCCCAAAATAAAAATATACCGTGTCATACCCATGCGGCTGCAACAACAGCCAGATCGATTGGAGAATATCAATTGTGAAAATCCTGTTAACGGTGTAGTCGCTAGTGTCTTCACAGCAGACACGGACTGACAGATGTGTTGACGAAAACCAATTTTTCGATGTCATAGACCCACAAAATGTGGATTCTGAGAACAGAACGAGTTAGAGAAAGTACCTTACTACGTGTAGAAACAAGATTTATGCAGTTTTTCGTTTTTAGAACCCCACATTACGAGTTTTTCTGACAAAAAATTGTATTGTATTTAAAGACATTGGTTTCCTACATCTATCCCTCTGAACTCCAAGACGACATAAAATGAGTTTTAAAGTGATCATGCCACTAAAATAAACATTCATTAGTTAAATAGATCTGTTAACTAATTATAAGTTATGAATTCGGTGAGCTAGAAACACTTTTGCTATAATTATTTCAAAGGGTGGGTCATGAAGCCCCGCCCCAAATCCGTCCCCGTAATGCGATCCTGTTTGCAGCTGAGGTAGCTCGGGGCATCAACTATTGTCACTGCAGTGCTTCTGACCGGTCACAGTGTAGAGGAGAATTATAGCGGCCGGTTGCTCTGATCGGTAGTTCTTCATGGTTTCTCAATATCAAGCGTTCATGAACTATCCTACCACACATGTCGGAAAACCAGGCGGCGCTCAGAGCTTGTCCCGGCTGCGGCAGTGCCTCGCTGGGCGGAGATATCTGGATGGGGAAATCCCCGAAAGCTGACGTGTAGGTCGACAACGGATCTCACGATCCAGCATGGACGAACACCACCACTCTCCGTGATAAAAGCATTCACAAACGGGATAAAAGCATGACATAACTGGACTAATGACTGAAGCAGTTGTCGCGCCCGAAAGCACGAAATAATCATAGGTAGTACCGTGAGTGCTGAGAATTTCCAAAGCACGAGAGGTACGTAATAATTCCACGAATGAAATTACGTCCAACAGATATCCAAAATGTGCCAAATATTGAAAATAACCTAAAGAATGTTAAAATCAAAGAAGTTACATTATAGTAAGAAATACCTCCTTTCTCCGCCAGTTAGTGAAAGAAGTGAAGCGAAATTTGCGGAAGAGCGGGCCTGATGGCCCGAGTCTCTCCACGTAAAATAAGGCATCAATTCAATTCAATTCAATAGTACAAATGCGGTTTATTGCACATCGACACAGCGATCGATCCATACTGCCTTCTAAGACAGATGAGTCGCAGCTTGTCATTGGCCATTAGGGAGGGGCGACAAGAAAAATCGGGTAGAAAAAGCATTACATGCTTTAGATACACTGCCCTGATTGGGGCATCTTATAAGTATGGTTAAACTCTACTGGATTTCATTTCATCAGTGGAATAGTCTATGAGTTTAGCACCATGTGTTCGGAGCGCGGGACGGGTGAAAATCCCCGGCGGACGCGCCGGCCGGCGGAGCAGGGCCCTATAACTCCCATATAACGTGGTGAGGACCATTACAGTGGCGCGCTCTAGAGCGTCACCTTCTTACGCGAACTAAAATACGAACTGCAACCAACGTTATTTAAAACGTACGTGGGTTCTCGGGACGCAAACACACGCACTTGACACAAAAGATCGCGCCGCTGTTCGCGCTACTTTTTTCTTTCATGCGTGTATTATGAAAAAATGAATTTTAGAAGACAAACACATAGTATTTAACTTCTTCTGTAATTTATTTCAGAAATCGCTCGTAATCAAAGTGTTTTTTGTGTCTCTTGACCAATTTGTATGTGCGTAAGTCGGCGATCCTTACCAGTAGGTGTATCCGGCGACACTAGCGCATCCTATAGTAGCAACCTGTAGCTTTGTCCCCAATTTTGATGGAGAGTTGCCGGGCCCTGCGGAGGAGCGCCGAGCGCGTGCATGCGCCAGCCACGGCGCGGACCCCTTCCGGCGAGGCCTTGATCCCGGTCAGCGGCAGGGAAGGTCGGCCGGCCGGCCGGCCAGCGGGCGGGCAGGCGGGCGAGCGGGCGGGCGAGCGAGCGAGCGAGCGAGCGTGCAGGCGGGAGGGGGGGGGGCAGAACCGCAGCGGGGCGCGGGCGACCGACGCTGGAGGCAAGTGGCGGAAAGAACCGGAAACAACTCGGTTCCAACACTCCACAGGATGTTTGAAAATGATTGCGAACCAAGGAGGACACATGCTGGTCGAGTAGCGTTGCAGCTAGCAGTAAAGTGATTCGAGATTTGGGATATTGGTATTGCGAAACTTTTTTCGGTGTAGCTGGACGTATCCTAAATTATCTAAAATCTGCATTCTAAAACCATACGGAATCTCGAAGCGGATCGAATTACTTCAATCATTCTCGTGGTATAATAATGCAAATTAAAACACTACGAAGGCGAAGGAAACTCCTAGAATTTTGGGAGGCAATTATACGCTTATCCATTCCCTCCCCCCTTGGAACAATTATTA